CGTGCAGTTGCAGGCAAAATTACGATGCACCCAAATTCCTAGCCTAATTTAAGTCCTAATTGCAAAAAAGAAATTCGATAAAAGAAATTTCGAGAACCCACATGGGCTCGACATCAGTTGAAAATTCAAAAAGAATTCCCCCCGCGACGATCACGCCGAAATTCCCCAGACTCTCAGCAGAACAAGAAAGAAGCTATGGCAACTGTTATTATACGCGCTCGCTAAGGCCCCGATCAACTACCAACCGTCGTGGGGCCATCCCTTTTTGAAAAAGACAAGGGTATTCGTGTAATTGGGCGGGCGCCTCTCAATCAACCCCCAAAGTATCATCGCGCAGAAAATCGCACGTCTACGAGAAACAGTTCATCACAGGGGCATGAGGCCTGGTAGAGAGGTCTGGGGAGTTGTCGAGGGTGGAAGGCACTTGAGTGGCTGTTGGTGAGCTGTTATCAGGGGCAACGCTGGGCAGGGCCCTATAGCCTAGCAGCTGGGGGTGTGAGGCGTGGTAGAGGCCTGGTATCAAGGTGAGAATGGTAGATGCATTGTGGGGTGTTCATCTGGTGAACAGCGTTTAGGTTATAGGCAGTTTGCTCGCACAGATCTGCCATGAGTAGCCTGAGCCCAAGTCCCACTAGCATTGCTCCTGTTCCTGTAATGGGGACCTCCCTGTTGTGTGACACTCCTTGCCACCGCCGATTTCCATAGATCGCAGGGCAATTCATGTTTTGAGGCAGGCGGTGAACTCGGTGCGTCCCTATTGGCTGCACATCTCCACCTTCTTTTGGCTAAGGTAGTCTGTGAGTCCTCCTCGCCGGGGCGGTGCACATCACGCTAGAGAGGGAAACCGCCAGTCCCGTTTCAGATATGGCGGTGATGAACAGAGGGCAAAAAAAAGGGAGAAAGTAAATACCTTCCAGGTGTCGTGGCTACAGCTCCATAGGAAAACCCTGCATCACCAGATGGCCACGGTCTGTTCGAGTGCTCCATAGGAAAACCCTGCATCACCAGATGGCCACGGTCTGTTCGAGAAAGGAAAGCCTTCACCATTGAGCCTCGCTGCACTCCTCTCCAAAGGTAGAATTCGACAATGAACTTTCCCCAAGAACATCGAAGGATACACTTCCATATGTTTTGTCTTTTGTGAATGTCGACCTCAGTACAGCTGGGCCCATTATTACTCGGCGGCGACGGGGCCAACTTCCTCCGCCTTTTGTTTTTTAGGTACTCCATGTGGAAGAACTGTAATCACGCTACACAGCTGGAATATTCTTTTGGCCCACCGTGAAAATATTAAGGCCACACAACACCGCACTCCGCCTCAATGTGCCGCATGTTTCAGGAACAGGATCGCCACTAGTGGGACTTGGCCCCTGGTTAGCCCCAGCTGCTAATTATTTCAAGCCCAATCAATTCAATCACCTGTCGAATCTGGATAGGACAGCCTTTCAGGCCCTTTTTTTTGTTGCAATTAGTATGCACCCCATCGCAGCCACATCCATTCTCAAGCCTCCAACAAGGGAACATGCGGGAGCTGCACCCACCAGGGACCTTGTCCCACTTGCACCGTTTAGTTGAGGCAGTTGAGAGCACCGTTTAGTTGAGGCAGCTCAATGGTGCGACAGCTAAAAAAAATCATTCTAATTCAATTTCAAATGAGAAATGCATTTATAAATGGCACGAATACAATTGTTCTGGTTTTTCTTTTTTCACAATTGGAGTGGCATAGGGGCACTTCCACAGAAGAAAATGAAGAGTTGCCAGAATACCTTTTGTACAAAAATGGCAAACGGAAGGAGGCTCGTACAGTTTCCCTAAAAAAACGCCTTCGGGGGGAACAAGAGGGTCGTTGAGCTAGCTGTCTCGAAAAAAGGAGACAGCTAGCTCAACGGAAAGTGGCAAGGGTAGGGGGAGTAGTATTCGAGAGAAAGGATTTACTTCTGCTTTTTGTTGTAAGAAAAACAAAAGATAGGGCCTCGCTGCACTACTCTCGAAATGCACAAAAGACAAAATTCATGGTGGTGTGGTGTATCTTTCCATGTTCTAGCAGAAGATTCACTCTCGTTTTGCACATTTCGAGAGTAGTGCAGCGAGGCCCATGGTCTCTATTGCCTTTTTTATTAAAAACGGACCACTAGATGACTTGGACGACGTGCATCTCCGTTGTCGCGTGCATCTCCGAGATGCACGCGTGCAGTCACACATCGTCGAAAACCCAACATTCACCTAGCTTAACGGAGCTAGTGGGACAAGGTCCCAGCAGGTGCAATAAGGTTACCTGAATTTTCTCGAATTTTCTTTAAATTTCCAGAATGTTCTCAGCCGAAACGGGGCAATGGACCCAGTATTTCATGATATATGTTCGTATAAGGGACGCTGGGCCCCGTTCCCAGCACGTGCTACTCCCCACGAAGAGATTGGAAATTTGTCCCGAGGAAAAAAATAGAAATAAAAATGGGTGACACGTCACCAAATGGTCCAATTTGTAATGGCTTTGCTTTGGGCCCAGTGGTCCAATTTTTTTTTCTCAACCGACCACGGCATGAGAATACTCTTTTTTCTTTTTTTCCCCGAAAAAAGCACGAGCCCCTTCTGTTCCGCGGGGCAACATTGTGGTTGCTTATCACCGGCAAGCATGAGTACAACCTACTACCGGTAGTAAGAAAAGCAGTCAGCCATGCCCCTGCACAAGGTAGGGGCTGTCACGAACCATTCTTCCCCCCCCCCCCCTTCCCCCGCTAAGCCATGGCCTTCCTGGGGTGCTTCCTGGAAACGGTTTATTTGCATGGCTTGGTATATTTGCCGCAACAGGCCCGCCTGCTTCTGGTCTAGCAGGGCTGCCATTATAGCACACTGCTCATTCCACCTCCGCCTCGTCCATTTGTTCAAGTTATACATCCGGGAGCCAATTCCTCCTAGCTCACCTTCGCTCCCATTTAGGCCACCCGCTCTTCAACTCCCCACGGGAGTCAATTCCTCTTATAGCCCACCTGCTCTTCAACTCCCCACAAATATCCACTGGCTCCAGCTGCGAGTTGTAGATGTTTTTCAAGGTCACTTCCTGCATTCCTTGGGGCGATCACTCCCACTCCACGGCAGGTCTCACAGCCTGCATGCCAGCTGATATGGCATATACTTGCCTCTTCCCTTACCTCCTTTTTCTCCGACCTTTTCTCCCCTGCACTCTGGGTTCCCCTCCGGCGGTTCTCCCAGTCCCTCGTTCCCCAAATGCTGTTTCACTTGTCACTCGCGCCACCCCTTTCTTTTTCGAGTTTGCTCTGGGGCTCAATCTCTGACAAGACCCTGCCCTTCCACCTCTAGATATTCCCTCACAACCCAATTCCCCTCTATCCCACCTCATGGACATCCTTTCCCTTGTCTACACACCATTAGAGTCATCTTGGATTTGTCTCCACCTGCAACATCATTGGGGGGTGGTCACCTGTCCTGAACATGTCAGTCCTCAGACGCAGCTCACGTGACCAAACCGTGTCACTTGTCCTGAACATGTCAGTCCTCAGATGCAGCTCACGTGACCAAACCGTGTCTGAACGTATACAGCCCACAAACCGCAGTTGAACTGCACTGAAATCATGCACTTCGCTACATCTGCGACGTCACCTTGCACGGGTAACCCGATAAGAGAATTGTTTTGCATTTGAGAGCTAACGTCGTCCACTGAACATAACGCACCATGATAACGACTGTACACAAGCCATCTTTCCGGTCCGGTGCAGCCAAAATGAGCGTGCGTTGTGTTAGGGGGAAGACAGTAGCAAGTCTGCAAGGACAGGAATTCCTGAGCCTGATTCTCATCGGTAGGAAGCATCAATACCTCAACCTGACATCCAGGCTGCTGGGTCAGTTGCCTTCATCCATTCTCCGACTACCCGGTAGTTTTCACCAGAATAGAACGCCCAGTCTTCACCACTGTATCCAGACCAAAAGTGGCCGAAATACAGCTATAATGACCGGGCGTTCTACTCGGGTGAAGACGGTAGACGAAGGAAAAGGCCGAAATACAGCTATATAGACGAAAAGTGGCCGAAATACAGCTATAACGAGTATCCGAGCTTCGTCGAGACAAATGATGCATCGAGCAGGGACGCTGCACACCCCAGAGAATTTTTCACAGACAAGCGTTCTTTCCCCGACACCCACTGTCACAACATAGCCGGTCCAAATGCTCAGGCATTCTGATTCGTTTCCTCTTCAGATTCGATGTTGCCTTTCATAGCATCTATAACTCCATCCATAACTCCAAAACTGCTCTTCGGGTGAAGTTGCTTCTCGTCCTGGACCGAGCGCATGTACGACAAATACATATAACTGACCACCACATTCCCTCGTATCTAAAAATAGCAATTCGGCATCTTTTTGCAACCAACTCACCCATGGCAGATCAAACTGTCCAGAACTACTCCGAGTTGGAACAGCTGAGCACGGCCCAAGCAAGGCGGCGACATGCAATCCTACCGCCTTTCACCCAAAACAGAACGCCCAACCACCATAGCAATACAACGACCTCCTATATTTATATTTGCGGGCGTTTGGGGGAAGCAGTCGGCTCATAGAACCAGGGGGAGGCGTTTCCACGTCAATCATACCCCGCACGGGTCGTGGGACTGCTTTTGCGGCTCTACCTTTCATTCCGTCAAATGAAACTCGACTACGTCAGTCGCATAGATACTCCTTCCGCGACTCTACATTTAGCTGCATGAAATTAAATTCGAATAGGCTAGTGCAAGTCTAAGTGGACGCACCCGACCTATACACAATCAAACAAATTGACCTTACACAAAATATTGGGCGCACCTATTCCAATAAGATCACAGTGAGCATCTTTTCTTTTTTTTTCACAACAACAAAACAGTGAGCATCTGAATTTTAAGGACTCAGGAAACTTCCAATTTAGGCAGAACATACCTATTCAGAGAACGCTGATCCACAGTTAGACATACCTGTTTTTACCCTCAACACCTACGAGCGACTTTCTCATCCAGCGAACAGGATTTGCGAGTACGGAAATTCTACTACCGTCTTCACCCTAATAAACGCCCGGTCATCATTGCTGTACGGCTAAATTGACCAGGCGTTCAATTCGAGAGAAGACAATAGTCCAGCCTCCTACAACAGACTTCCCAGCAAACCATGGCCTGCTACCAGGGACTTGATGCCAATGATGTTAGGCTTACCTACTTTGGCAGCTTCTGTCTGGCGCACGCAGACTCTCGACCCAAACAGCCGAACCTGTTAGCTTCAGAGACACCAAATCCACACCTTGCAAAGAGGAAGGGACACCCTGAAGGGTGCGGAAGCTTCACACAACACAGGCGAAGGTCAAAAATGGCTCGAAGATTCATTCCACGGAAAGCGGGGATATACGTGGGAGCATTGAGGACAGCCGCAAGAGGTTGCAAGGGGACAATGTCAGGTAGGGGAACACGGAACGCAATAGAAGGCAGGCACGAAGGGTCACAAGACGGCGTACACACAAGTGCGATAGACGGCAGGCACGAAGAGACACCCAGTGATTAAGTTCGCGGCAGGCACGAAGGGTCACACAGCAGGCACGCAGGTAGTACAATAGACAGCAGGCACGACTGGGCACAGAGCTAATACAACTGACGGCAGGTACGATAGCAGACAGGGGAACGCGGGGTACAACAGACGGCAGGGGAACACAGCGGGTACTATAGACAGAAGGCACAGGGGAACACAAGGGAGACCATAGCAGGGTCACAAAATCCAATGAGCGGGAGGAAGAGTTCCATATCATTCCTGAAGGGTGCAGAATGCTCTACACTGGCGCCAGAGGACGTCGGGGGGTATGCAAAAGCAAGAGCACAGCTGGGAGAGGGGCGTGTCACGATCGCCAGAAATACTTCCGCATGCAAAAGCGGGGACCAGTAGCCAGGGGAGGGCATCATGGGAGAGTACAAACCAGGGGGGAGTATCGGAAACGGCCGTAAGCGCCGTATGCGCAAGAGGGGAAATTGACACCAGGGGTCAGGAGGATGTGCTACAGAGGGACAGATTCAAAGTGCCGAGGAGTTCTATGGGTTTCGGGGTTGTAATAAGACTGGGAGATGAGGGGACTTTCAAAGTCGCACGACCTCTACACACGGGTAACATTTGAAGAAAGTCAACAGGAAGAGGCGTGCTTAATATGCAAAACATTGAGAATGAGGGAGGAAGGAGAAATGTTGAGCGGTATCGCAAAACGACAACGCAAGAGTGGCGAAAGGCCTACAAGGTTTCTTCGCGACGGCATCAAATTGCCCTGAGCCACGGGCAACCAATCAATTCAGAACAAACTCCCGTTTCGTTCGGCGGTAGCGACTCGGCAAAAAGGAAGAACAACAAACCGCATTTTCGTTCGAAACCCTAACGGTCTAACCAAAACGTTTACTTATTAAGGAATCACTCAAGGCTACTCGGCAATCCGAAAAAGAATAAAGCAAATCTCGAAGAAGAACACAAGCTGAGAATTAACCCATATTCCCTACCCACGCCATCGCCTATCGAGCACCCAGGTCTGCCGCGATCGAGCTATAACCATCCGATCGTCGTACTGACCGAACAGACGCAGCACAGAACTCCAAGCTGAGAATGACGGAGAAACAATCCACCGACAGACGTCTTCCGTTGACCTACCGTCACCCGAAAGACACCGAAACGACCACTCCCTCAGCCCACCGATTTTTTTCTTCTTAGAAACACTGTCGTCCCCTAATCCCACCCCCCGTCGGAAAACAGGAAAAAAATTGAAGGTCCTACCGAATACTCCCGAGTGTACTAGTTCTCCAGCTGCCAAACCGCCGGCGAAACCACCATCAGCTGCTAAAGCTGCCCCTACGTGACTCAGAAAATCATACGTAATTGCGGCACTCACATGACGGGATCTTCCCAACAGTAGAAACAGGTCGGAATCCCTCACCGATTCCACATGACGCGGAGACAAGCTACCAGTTCACTTTCCTCCCTTCTTCATGGCGGCCTTCGTCACCTTGCCTTCCTTCTCCTTCTTCTCCACGGCCTTGATCACGCCGACGGCCACCGTCTGCCTCATGTCACGCACGGCGAAACGACCCAGAGGGGGATACTGGGCGAAGGTCTCGACACACATCGGCTTCGTTGGAACCATCTTCACGAACCCAGCGTCTCCGTTCTTCAGGAACTTGGGCTCCTTCTCGAGCTCCTTGCCCGTTCGACGATCGATCTTCACCACCAGCTCCGCAAACTTCACCGCGATGTGGCACGTGTGGCAATCCAGCACCGGCGCATACCCGTTACCGATCTGCCCAGGGTGATTCATGATGATCACCTGGGACGTGAAGCTCGCCGCCTCCTTCGCGGGGTCGTTCTTCGAGTCCGAGGCCACGAATCCTCTCTTCAACTCCTTCACGCTCACGTTCTTCACGTTGAACCCCACGTTGTCCCCAGGGAGCGCCTCGGTCATTGCCTCGTGGTGCATCTCCACCGACTTCACTTCAGTGGTCAGCCCAGAGGGTGCAAACGTCACCACCATGCCAGGCTTGATGACGCCCGTCTCCACCCTTCCCACGGGCACCGTTCCAATACCGCCAATCTTGTACACGTCCTGGAGAGGCAGACGCAGAGGCTTGTCGGACGGCCTCTTCGGCTCCGAAATCAGATCGAGAGCTTCCAGAAGAATCGGGCCCTTGTACCACGCCATGTTCGAAGACCTCTCGATCATGTTGTCCCCCTCGAACCCGGAGATGGGCACGAACGGGATTTTGTCAGGGTTGTACCCGACCCTCTTCAGGTAGGTCGACACCTCCTTCTTGATTTCGTTGTACCTGTTCTCCGAGTACTTGGGCGTCGTGGCATCCATCTTGTTGCACGCRCAGATCATCTGCTTCACGCCCAGCGTRAACGCCAGCAGGGCGTGCTCACGGGTCTGCCCATCCTTCGAGATACCCGCCTCGAAACCTCCCGTCGTCGAGTCAATCACCAGCACAGCGCAGTCCGCCTGTGAAGTGCCCGTGATCATGTTCTTGATGAAGTCGCGATGGCCGGGYGCATCGATKACAGTCACGTARTACTTCGTCGTCTCGAAYTTCCACAAAGCGATGTCGATGGTGATACCACGCTCRCGCTCCGCCTTCAGCTTGTCCAACACCCAAGCGTACTTRAAGGACCGCTTGTTCATCTCAGCCGCCTCCTTCTCGAACCTCTCGATCACACGCTTGTCAATGCCACCCAACTTATAGATGAGATGGCCCGTGGTCGTCGACTTSCCGGAGTCGACATGGCCGATGACCACGATGTTGATATGTGACTTCTCCTTTCCCATGGCTGCCTACCGCACGTGCGACGAACGACAAAGAGAGAGAGGATATGGCGGCCGCAAACAACAAAGTCACGAGGAAGAAGCACGACAACCGCAGCGCACCACACGGAACCAACGGCGCGCGCCGCCGACCGATGAAGCGGTCGCACGCTGATGTCTGCGTGCTCTAGATGAGAACCTACACTGCCGCCGTCCTGGCAATAAGCTCTCCACAGAACGACCTTACGCGGTACTCTGATTTTCGCAACTCGTATTTTTTTGGGGAGTGTGCGAGATACCCCTAAAAGAAATACACCTTGTGGCCCGTACGTTCCCTAAAATCGTGGCCCAGCTATCGATGCCCGAGCCTGGAATGCCCCTGCGCGCCAATTTTTGCCGAAGCGCCGGGGTACCGTTTTCGTTTTTTTTTGGCTGGCGCTACCCGCCATTGTGGTCCGGGACGCCGAAGCCCTAAAGGCGCGGCGCGTTAACGGGGAAGCGCCGCGGCCGATAGCTGGTGGTTTATACCCCGCTGCCAGCCCTAGTTCTGTTTATACCCCTGCTTCCGGTTCGCAGCTGTGCGAAACTACCCCGCCCATTCACCCCGGAATGTTGTGGTTGAATGGGAGATTCGAATTCGCGAGCGGCATTGAGCAGAGACTGTTGCTGCTCGTAGGGGGATGCGACCGGACGGGAGGCACAGGAACTGGCCCGTCGAAGAAGCTCAGTCCCGACACTGCCGGCTGACCCCTGGTCGGCCCGTCGAAGAAGCTCGGTCGAATAGCACCTGATACCTGCTTGTGGGTGCGGCTCCAGCATGTTCCCTGGTTGAAAGCCCAACCAATTCATTCAGGCCTTCATTTAGTTCGCAGCCCGTCAGGGTTGCGTTTTCCCCCCCGGAAGACATTTTTCGTCGTCTTCCTTATACCGGTCGTTCATTCCTGCTGCTTGGTCGTTGGAAGGCTCCAAAAATGCAGGCACGTGCAGGCAGGTCACTTTAGGGGCGAGTGGCAGCTAGTGGCAGTTTCTTTTGGACCGGTAGCTGCTCGTGGGACCGCGCACGCGCACTGGGTTGGGGCAGGCCACGGTCCTTGAGCGGTCCTTGAGCTGCGAATTTCAAAAAGGAGAGGGCGCGGGGGCGGGGGCAGGAAAGGCCGAAACGACGCTTGCCACAGATGTGTCTAAATGTGGACGCATTCAGCGCCCCATTCAGGCACATCTGTGCCCCGGTGTTCTGTGTGCCATCTCAATCGCTTGCCATCTCTCTCTCTCTCTCTCTCTCTCTCTCTCTCTCTCTCTCTCTCTCTCTCTCTCT